AATGCATGTGAGGAGCCGCCCAGCACCAGCAGCAGCAGCAGCTGCAGCAGCAGCAGCAGCAAACCAACCTGTGTTTGACAAAGGGCTTAAGTTTGTTGAAGTCTTCAGGGTGGTGGGGGGGGTAAAGAAAGACTCCAGCTTTTCTATCAAGAAGGTCTTCTGCTTTATTTGTTCTGTTTACACCAATAAATAAATAAAGTAATTAATTAATTAATTAATTAGTTTATTATTTATTTATTTATTTATTCATTAATCCCAAACCCCCACCCGAAACCCTAAACCCTAGCGCGCACCCCCGCGCGCACGCGCCCCGCGAAACCCTAAACCCTAAACCCTAAACTCTAAACCCTAAACCCTAAACCCTCACTTGCAGATGTGGAGGGTGACCCTGTGGCTGAAGTAGCAGGTGCAGAGGGCCGTGGCTCCTTCAACTAAATCAATTCTCGCCAAAGACCCCACAATTAGGGTTTGGCCTTTTTTGAGGGGATAAGTTAAGGGCTGCATGCGTTTCGTGGGCACTACTGAGAAAAGGTCAAACCCTTGACGCAGCAAACCCGTCACCTGCAACCCAAACCCTAAACCCTAAACCCTAAACCCTAAACCCTAAACCCTAACCATTGGTCTCTAACCCCGGAACCCTAAACCCTGATCCATAATCGCTGACCCCTGGCCACAAGCCGCTAGTCCCAAACCCTAAACCCTAAACCCTAAATCCTAAACCCTAGTTTCTAGCCCCGAAGCTCAAACCCTAATCTTTAGCCCCTGAACCCTGAACCCTATGCCGTAATGCCCAAGTCCTGACCCCAAGCCGCCAGTCCCAAACCCTAAACCCTAAACCCCAAACCCTAAACCTCTAAACCCTAATCGCTAGACCCTGATCCATAATCCCTGTGCCCTGGCCCCAAGCCGCCAGTGCCAAACCCTAGGCCCAAACCCCAAACCCTAAACCCTAAACCCTAAACCCTAAACCCTCACCTGGTGCTCCGAAGGCACCCCAGGAGTGTCGATAAGTTTGAAACCCTTGGGAAGTCCAAAAGGCAAAATGTCTAAAGTGGTTCCTGGAAGAGGAGACCTCGTGGCCCCTCCCACTGCGCGCTTCAGGTGCAGAGTCCCGAAGTGCCTGCATGCACACGCTGCTGCTGCTGCTGCTGCTGCTGCTGCAGTGCTGTGGTGCTGCGGTGCTGCGGTGCTGCTGCTGCTGCTCGGCTTCTTGATAAGCTGCTTCCTTGGAAGGGTTTAAAGGGTTATTGAGAATTGCGTGCTGCTGCTGCAGTTTTGTTTATTTTATATTAAATGGTTTACTCTTTATACTTAGGCTTTCTGCTGCCTCGCGGGTTTGTGGGGAATAAACAGCATATTAATCTAGTTTTTGCTGCTGCGCTTAGCTGGCTCTCTAGTGGCTGCTTTTACCACCACCAGCAGCAGCAGCAGCAGCAGCAGAAGCAGCAGCAAAATAGCCAGTAGTGGCACCAATGAGCAGAAGCAGCAGCAAGACCCGTACGAGCAGCAACGCAAGCAGCACTGCAACCCACTCCACCACCATAACCACACCCACCACCATCACCAGCAGCAGCAGCAGCAGCAACAGCAGCAACAGCAGCAGCAGCAGCAGCAGCAGCAGCAACAGCAGCAGCTGACTTATATCCGACGAATTTGAGGAACCTGTTGACGAAGGTCGACTTGCCCGAGTTGACTCTGCCCACAACGAAGATGAAGCGTCCCTGCTGCTGCTTCTGCTGCTGCTGCTGCTGCTGCGCGTCCTCATATGCGTCTGCCGCCGTTGAGAGCGCGCCGTCACCTGCTGCTGCTGCTGCTGCTGCTGGCCGCAGCCGCGGAGTGTCTTCAGACAAAATCTCTCCAATGCGGCGCTCCAAAGTGTCGAAGCCGAAACCTGAAAAAAAACATTTTTATTTTGGTGCAGCAAATTAGTTAATTTTTAATTACTTTTTAATTCAAAACGTAAATATTGAAGTAAATTACTTTTTAATTCAAAATATAGATCTTGAATTGAATTACTTCTTAATTCAAAATATAGATCTTGAAATAAATTACTATTTAATTCAAAATGTAAATATTGAAATAAATTATTTTTTAATTCAAAATATAGATCTTGAAGTGAATTACTGCTTAATTCAAACTATAGATCTCGAAATAAATTACTTTTTGGTTCAAAATATGGACCTTGAAATAAATTACTTTTATAATTCAAAATATAGATCTCGAAATAAATTACTTTTTAATTCAAAATGTAAATCTTGAAATAGATTACTTTTTAATTCAAAATATAGATCTTGAAACCCTAAATCATAAAGCGGAAATGAAGACTAACAAATTATTTTTCGAATTCAAAGAGTAAATCTTAACGTTGCAGATGAAAATATAAAAAAATAAATTACATATAATATATGCATAATACATATTACATGCACAATATATATTATATATGTTATATCTATCATATATATTATATGCACTATATATAATTTATACAGCACACATTTTATATATATTTTGTATATTATATTTATTATATATATCATCTTTTTTATATATATTATATGTATTAGATTGCTGCAGCAGCAAAGAAGCAAAATGAAATGGACCACCGGTCTGCAGCAAAGAAACAAAATGAAATGGACCAGTTGCTGCAGCAAAAAGAGCGAAACGAAATGGACCAGTTGCTGCAGCAAAAAAAGCGAATTATAATGGACCATTGTTCTGCAGCAAGAGCTAGTGGAGTGGACCAGTGATCTGCATCAAAGATTCGAACAAAATAAATCAGTTGCTGCAGCAAAAAGAGCGAAATGAAATGGACCAGTTGCCGCAGCAAAGATTCGAACAAAATATAATCAGTGCTGCAGCAAAAATAGGAAAATGGAATGGACCAGTTGCTGCAGCAAAGAGAGCGAAATGAAATGGACCAGTGGTCTCACCAGTGGCTGAAGAAATCAACACGCAGTCGTCAATGTGCACATTTCGAATTTGCCGGACCATTCGCCGCACCCAGTGCCTCACTCTGAGACGCCCAGCCACTCAGCTGTACGTACACCTCATTCAGCTGTACGTACACCTCGCTAAGGTGTGTGTACACCCATTCAGCTGTACGTACACCTCACTAAGGTGTACGTACACCTCATTCAGGTGTACATACACCTCACCCAGCTGTACGTGCACCCCATTCAGGTGTACGTACACCCCATTCAGGTGTACGCACACCTTACTAAGGTGTACGTATACCTCACTCAGGTGTACGTACACCTCACTGAGGTGTACGTACACCGCAACTATGTCTAATTGCACATCAGTCCGCTGCTTTTATTCTTTTCATTTTAGTTGGTTTTGCGGCCACAACAGTTCCACTGAGGCCAACTCTTTTGACTCAGCAGACGCCGCTGAACCCTAAACCCTAAACCCTAAACCCTAAACCCTTACACAGCGGCAAAATCTGCCCGCTGCGGCCGCGCTGGCGGGTCCGTCTAAAGAGGCACTACCCGCAAAACCTAGACCCTAAACCCTAAACCCTAAACCCTAAACCCGACCGCCCGCAGCTCAAGCCCTACGCCCACACCATAAACCCTTTACCCAGCCCCAAACCCTAAACCCTCTCCCAGCCCCAAACCCTAAACCCTCTACCCAGCCCCAAACCCTAAACCCTGCGAGGACCCCAAACCCTAAACCCTAAACCCTAAACCCTGGGGTTTGCGGACTCGTTGAGGTTGGTGTCTCGGGGGAGGCAGTCGACTCTGTTGAGGGCCCACAAAACCCTCAAACCCTTTTGTCTGCAGCTTTCGAAAAGCTCCGGAACCACCGAAGCCTCCAAGTCGCAAACATCTACAAGTTTAATGACAAGAGAACTTCGCGGCATTTTGCAAACCACTTTCGAAACCACCGAAGAAACTGACAAACCCTCCAAACCCTCCACACGCCCCCAAACCCCCCACTCCCGCTCAACGTCGATGCTCCGGTAGTGCTGCGGCCCACACCCACACGCAGGGTTTAGGGTTTAGGGTTTAGGGTTTAGGGTTTGGGGCTTGGGGTTTGGGGTTTGGGGTTTGGGGTTTAGGGTTTGCGGGACGGGGGTGTGTATATCGGGCGCTTGCGCGTGAGCGCAGCGGGAAAGGCTCAGTTCGCTGATGCGCGGAATCTAGGGTTTAGGGTTTAGGGTTTGGGACTTGGCGTTAGAGTTTGGGGTTTGGGATTCAGAGCTAGGGTTTAGCGTTTGAGGGAATTACCTGTATTCTGTAGCACCGCTGGCAAGTCAGGAGAGAAGTGCGGACGCGAAATTTGGGGGAGTTTTGCTGCATGCGCACAACCTCCTCAGGCTTAAGGGTTTAGAGTTTAGGGGCAAGGGCTTAGGGTTTAGGGTTTAGGGTTTAGGGTTTAGCGTTGGACTTGCCTGCAGCACTTCCACTCCGTCTGGCACACACTCCACAACCTCCCCACGAGGCCTGGGCAGCCTTTTCACCCGGCCACCTGAGGCAAACCAGCCCAAACCCTAAACCCTAAACCCTAAACCCTAAGCCCTAGACCCTAAACCCTAAACCCTAAACCCTAAGGGTTAAATTTTAAATCCCCTAAACCCTGAACCCTGCAGCTTGATCCCCAAAGCGCACGCGTTAAACTCCGGGCCTCCGGCTCGTAAACCGCAGCCGACGAACCCCAAACCCCAAACCCCAAACCCTAAACCCTAAACCCTAAACCATAGCAGCAGCAAGCCGCGCGCACCGGAATACTCCTCGAACTTGCTCTTGGGGACAAAGCCTACTGCAGCAGCATCTTCTGTCTGCAGTGGGGCCCCACAGCCCGAGCAGCGCGTGGGTTGCATGCGGTCGGTCTGCAGCAAACGCATGCGCTGAGGTGTACAGACACCTGGCGGCCCCGCGCCGCCAGGTGTACGTACACCCCGCGACGGCGCGCGAGCGCTGCCCCGAAGTGATAATTCAAAAACATTTATTTTTCTATTTTAGACTCTTCAAGCAGCTCAAAAGCTTTGCAAAAGCACAAAAAGACTTGCAAATGAACTCAACAAACGCCGGAGGCAGCAGCAAAGAGTTTCCAAGAAGTGCAAACCGACACAAATGACAGGGTTTAAGCAACTAATTCCTCTTTAAAAAACAGTTGAAGTTGATTCTTTTAAACGAGTATTTGCAGCCACTTGCTGCTGCAAACAAAACGCGAAAACCCGAAAAAACGAAAGCGGGCAAAAATGCAGAAAAAACGAGGTGTCTGTACACCCCAACCCACCCAAAACAGATCCGCGGTGATGCCCGTGAGACTCTTTTGATCATTTTCTTTTTCTTTTTCCAAAGTGCATGCACTAGGCCCTTCAGAACTCAAATGGCGAACAGAAAAACGCAAAAGAGACAAAAAATAACTGCAATTAGACTGAACTCCCGGGCCAGCAGACCTCCCCAAAGCAGGAGTGAGGAAAGGGCTCCTTGGGGGCCCCCAGGAAGCTTTAAGGGGTCCTTGGGGGCCCCCCTGGGGGCCCCCCTGGGGTCGCGCCGCAGCTCTTGGGGGGCCCCTAGAAGGGGCCCCCAGCGCTGCTTCCGGGGCCCCTCCTGCAGGGCCTTCAGGGCATCCCACGGGGGGCCCCAGACGGCCTTTGGGGCCCCTAAGGAAAAACCCTAATGCCCTAAATGAGGGTAGTGGCTTTGGGGACCTCAAGGGGCCCCCGCTGTTTCTGTGGGCAGCAGCGGCCAGCGATCGAAACTTCGTGCGCGGAGTGAGCGGGAGAAGCATTGGTGTTTGGCCGTTTAAAATCCGTTTTCCGCATCCGTAATTGTTTAAATTTGAAAAATAAAATTAAATAAAAAAGAAAAAATGACTTTTGGACGGAAAATGCGAACTTTAGTGACGGGAAGTTCACACAGGCAGGGGAGGTGACTGTCGATTCAGATTTTTGAAAAGCAGAAGAGAACGCAGCTGCGCATCTGGTAATCCACAATTTAATTTAATTTTCAAAAAATAAACACATAATTTCGCTGTTTTATAATGAAAAGATAGAAATGAAACGCTGGCAAACAGGGAACCCTCCGACGAATTTGCCGCAGGCAAAGGAGCTGTCTGTACACCTTAGAACGAGGGAATTTCAAGTCCTCAGTTTGAGCTTTAGAAGTTCAGAATATTTTCTTCACTCCATTTTATTTCCTGTTAAATACCTCCCACCCGAGGACTTCACACTGTGATCCCACTGGGGCCTCCCAGGGGCCCCTGTGGGCCCCAAGGCCCCCAAGTGAGGGGCCCCCCCCGTGCCTGTAGGGGCCCCTTTGGTGCCCCCAGTGGGCACTACCCTTCTTTTCCTGAAGTGTTACGTTTTTGAAATATGGCTGTGGGTGGCTGGCCGCAGCAAAATGTTCTTTGCTGCTGAAAGCCAGTTCGCCTGTAAACCCTAACCCTAAACCCCCAGCAAATGTGGGGGTAATGAGGGTTTAGGGTTTGGCTTTAACCCCCGATATTCTTGGGTTTGGGGCAACTAAAAAGGATTTTAATACAATTGAAATGAATGGCCTCCAGGGATGCAGCTTACTGTATTCATCTTGAGGGTTTAGAGCCCCTCAAACCCCCAAACCCTAGCCCCACTCAAATGCCCAGCGGTTCCTTCGAGGCTAGCACTAGGGTTTAGGGCTGGGGTTTGCAGCTAGGGTTCAGGGTTTAGGGTTTTGCAGCTGCGTGGCTACAGGGGGCGCCCCCTGCGACGCCAGCAGCGACAGGCCAGGCAACAGGAATTTGCACTTCAGGGTCAAGGGTTTAGGGTTTAGGGTCTGGGGTTTGGGAGCACCCAGAAGCCCCAAAAAGACAAAGTGGCAGCAGCGCATGCGATGGAGCAGCAAAGTAGAATAAAAAAATCAAAAGAGATTAAATGGAGTGTTTGGTCAGGTCTAATGAAGTGCAGCAGCTGCGCGTTGGGGTGTCTGTACACTCGTGAAGGGGGTTTAGGGTTTAGGGTTTAGGGTTTCGTTCCGTTTGCTGGGTTAGGCGGAAATGCTTAAAAGCGGTTCTGCGCAGCAAAACGCATGCAGCGCTGCTGCATCCCTGAGCAGCAAAAGTTTGGGAAAAGGAGCAGCAGCAGCTCCTCGCAGTTTCGTTTCTCGAGGCGAAAGAATTAAAAAAGAAAAGTGAAGTGAAGGCTCTCGGGCGGCGGGGGAGAGCGTTGGGGGTGCGGGCAGCTGGAGTGTACATACACTCCAGCTGTACGTACACCGCAGCTGTACGTACACCCCAGCTGTACGTACACCGCAGCTGCACGTACACCGCAGCTGTAACACCGCAGCTGTACTGTAACACCGCAGCTGTACGTACACCGCAGCTGTACGTACACCGCAGCTGTATGTACACCCCAGCAGCTGCACGTACAGCCCAGCTGTAGGTACACTGCAGCAGCTGTAGGTACAGCCCAGCTGTACTACAGCGCAGCTGTAGGTACAGCGCAGCTGCAGGTGCAGCACGCGCTAGTGGAGCTGCTGCCAGAGCTGCAGCAGCCGCTGCGGGCTGACTGGGTGGACGGCGAGGAAGTTTTTGAAAGCAGCAAAATCGTCGGAGTCCGCGGCGTAGAGGCTGATGGGGGCCCCCGGGCCAGTGCTCTCGAGGGGGGCCCCCAGGGCCTCCAAAAGGACCCCCACGAAGCAGTCTTCGTTGCTCAGCAGCGGCAGCCAGGGGGCCCCCCTGGCCAGGAGGGCCCCCAGCTCCCCCGACAGAATGTAGAGGGGCCCCGCGAGGTAAGGGGGGTAGTGGGCCCTGTGGGGCAGCAGCGCGGGGTCTTGGTAGTTGCGGTGTGTGGGGTCGGTGATGAGGGGGGCCCCCTGGTGGGGGGCCCCCGCAGCAAGGGGGGCCCCCTGTTTGGCCTCCAAGAAGGCCACTAGTTTCTCTAAATTGAGGTAAATGTCTGCATCTGCTTTTACTAAAAATGCTGCTTCGCTGCAGAACTCTGCTGCCCACTGCAGCGCAGCTTTGGTCTTGTGCGTCAGCAGCCTGTAGCTGTCGGGAGCAGCAAGCTGCAGGATGTCTCCGTGCTGCTGCGCCTCACTGCGCAGCTGCTGCTGCAGCGCTGCTGCTGCTGCTGCGGGCGTCTGCGGGCGCCCCGCAGCGGCGGCAGCAGCAGCAGCAGCAGCAGCAGC